TTTTTTTTCGAAAAACACTTTTAAAAATATAGTTCACACGTACGCATTACCACTGAAGTCATTCTAATTATGTGAATGCTATTTCCATTCTAGCACATGTGCCTTTTAGGTCGGGGGTACTAATTTGGCATGAAAATATAAGACGAAGTTTTTAAAAACTTTTAGTAGAGGTTTTACGGCGCTCACAAGTGCATAAGGTCATGTGACGCTGGAGTAAAGATAATAAGTTATAGCGCAATACATTTTCTTAGCTCTAGTTCAGCGGAGAACCTTCTTACTATAAAAATTAAAAGGAACTTTATTGCTGATTAGTTGCAGATTAAAAGAACATTCATTAAGTGTTAATTGCTTATGTTTTTGCGAAAGAAAATGTTGGGAATTCATTATAGATATTTTCGTTTGACATCAAGGAAATTCGAAGCATAGAGCTTATATTATTTCTATTTTATTCTTTTCTTTTCTAGCTCTTAACGAGGCTGGATGAATTTGAAGCTTTGTTGCTAAATATCCTCATATCTGGGCTTCACAGGTGTTATGGTAAATAAATATGTCCAGTTATTGTTGTTAAAGAAAAAGTGTGCTTAATATTGCTCGGTGAAGTATCAACAGAATTACTCGACGTTTTTTTCCGTTCCGTCTTTCGAAGTGTAAATTAAAGTTTTGCTTGTTGTTTTTTCTTCCCCACACTCTTTAGACTTGACAAGAAATTGGCTCTGTCTGCTCTCCATGGGATCTCCGAAGTGTTCCCATGAATTTGTCCTCAGAGTTGACACCCGCCCGGGGAGTGCCAGCGCCGTGCGAGACGCATGTCAGCCTTCAGAGGAAGGGATAAAACATTTGCTCCTGATTGACTGATTGATGATGATGTCGTCACGTGATTAATTCACCGAATACGGCACATGCAAATTGGTTAAAGACATTTCTCAGAGACTTCTGGGAGGTGGTTTCCTGGTGCATGTGCCTCGGTGGGCGAAAGGCGGAAGTTTATGTCCTCCCAGCGTGAGTTTCGCTTGTAGTGTTCAGTTTTAATTAATTCCTTTAGAGCTTTCTTCGACTCGCACCGTTTCAGCTTAGGATAAAAGAAACAGGAGGAGAAACTCTATTGCTTCAAGAAAAATTGCGGAAGAGCGCTTTTTTCAACTGTGCCTATGAAGGTGAGCCTAGGTTTCAACGGATACAGCATCCCATTAGACAAACGTTCATTATATTATACTCGATTAAATTTAATGGCTTTTCCATACGAGAATCGAACCCACACCGCCTTCTGCGATCAATGACAAAGGGTTTTACTAGTAAAACACAGAGGAAAATTAGATCATAAATGGAAAAACAAGAAAACGGGAAGCAGGCTACGCGAGAACGCTCGTCAAGACCTAGCCATAGTTTGAACAATTAGCTATTCTTCATCCAGTAAAAATTAGAGGCACACGTTCGTTCTAACTCCAAGCTCCCGAACACTTCAATGATTGCATTATAATCTATCTGACTGTCTCTCTTCAATAAGTCTTAAAGGATTGTTTTTTTTCTGCATGTCTTACATAGGGATGCGGGAGCTTCATTGGAGAGCAGTAGAACAATTATAATAATAATGCGTATTTTAAAAAAATAATAAAATGTCATGTGTTGATGCAAATGGGTTGGACAATACACCTTGTACCTCTGTTCCTAACAAAAACATAGACCTACCTTGGCCATAAGACTAATCTTTTTTTAATATACGGGACTACTTGGTAAATATTAATAAATACCTTTTAAATGCAAATAAAAGCGGAGGAATAAATAATATGTGAAAGCAAACAACAGTAATTATCAAGCTGCAATGAATAAGTATTCGGAAATGACGGTAGTACTTATCTTTTCATTAAAAATATGTGAATAACGTTTATAGATTAACAACTCTTTGTGGTAATACTCGTTGTCATCATCCCAAATACCGGCATGGGGAAGTAGCAATGATGACTAATAACACCACCACCACCACAACCGCCACTACCAACAACAGCTACAACAACAAAAATAGCAGCAACAACAACAACAACAACAACAACAACAACAACATCCACGACATCCACAATAACAACAACAACAACAGCAACAATAACAACAACAACAGCATTACTGGCAAAAATCAGGACCGGTCATTTCTCTGGGCTTCGGGCCTACAAAAATAGAATAGACAAAACATCGGACCCAATATGTCCATTGTGCAGCGAGGAGCCCCAAGATTTAGAGCACTGGCTG